GCGGGCCCTCACGCCCATGTGCAGGTGGGGGTGAACAGCTGCGGGCCCTCACGTCCCAGTCTGCAGGTGGGGGTGCACGGCTGCGGGCCCTCACGTCCCAGTCTGCAGGTGGGGGTGCACGGCTGCGGGCCCTCACGTCCCAGTCTGCAGGTGGGGGTACACGGCTGCGGGCCCTCACGTCCCAGTCTGCAGGTGGGGGTACACGGCTGCGGGCCCTCACGTCCCAGTCTTCAGGCGGGGGTGCACGGCTGCGGGCCCTCACACCCATGTGCAGGTGGGGGTACACGGCTGCGGGCCCTCACGTCCCAGTCTGCAGGTGGGGGTGCACAGCTGCGGGCCCTCACCCCCGTCTGCAGGTGGCCTGTCACTGCCGCCCTCTACTCCCAGTTGCCTCCCTGTCCCCTGCCCAGGTTCTGCCCAGGGAGCTGGGGTGGCAGCGGTGGTGGCTGCCCCCAACCTGCATGAGGAGAGTTGGAGCCACACCCCCAGCTGCCCCCCAGGCTCAGACACAGCCATGTCTGCGGGGCCTACCTGAAAAGCTCTTGTGTCCTGTCAGAGACACAGGTATGGTGGTCTGTTCACCTCCCCCCATCTTCTGGCCTCAACATGAGATGGCCGCCACAGCAGCAGCAACTGTGTGACCACGAGGGAAGGGTCCAGGGACCAGAGAGATGCTGAGCTCAGGGAGGGCCCCAGCCCCTACTCCCTCCACCGTGGCAGCTCTGCACCCTGGCACACGGGCCTGGGGACACCCAAAGGTGGTATATCCACAGAAGAGGGAAGAGGCCCACGGGCTGCCAGCAGGAGCAGAGGCTGCTGGAATCCTGGGAGGCCATGCATGGCCCTCCTGGAAGCTCTGGCCACCACCAGGGCCCTCTAAGTCAGGCAGGTCAGCTGGCCAGGGTCGCCTGCATCTGTGCAGCCCAAGGGGAGTGGGAGGAGCCCTGGCCTCTACACCCCACTCCCACCTCCCGACCCAAGGGGTCATCGGCCTGTAGACTGCCTGTAGGCCTCTTCCAAGACGCCCCCTCACCGCACACTCAGTCAGACAGAAGCCTGCCACGACTTGGCCATGTGGCCTACTGCCCAGTGCCCCTACTGGGACCCTGTGGACCAACAATGCCACCCGGAGGGACAGCCAGTGCCCGGGGCCTCAGGGAGCAGGAACAAGAGCCAGACCACCGGGAAGGGGGCAGGGTTGCTGCCTCCCGTGGCTCAGCAGTGCCTGTGGGCTGTACCTGACTTCCCCCAGAAACTGCTTCAGAGCGAGCCAAGAGCCCAGAGGACGGCCGCCCACGCCTGCCCCACCACGAGGCCGGCTGTGTCACCTCAACACAGGCTTCTTTGTGCTGCTGTGACGGAATGCCGGAGACCGGGTAACTTGAAAGAAACGAGGTTTATTTGGCTCATGGTCCTGGAGCTGGAAAGTTGAAGCCAGGGTCCTAGCACACGGCGAGGGCTCCTCCACTCAGCAGGCATGGAGGGGTACTCAGAGCTTGGATGGAGGAAGCTGATTCCACAGCAACCTGCTCTCAGGAGCCAAGTTGTTCCTGAGCCCAAGCTCCCCGAGGCTGTACCCCGGGACTCGTCTGTGGAAAGCGTCTGTCCTGTTAGCACAAGCTCCCTGAGGCCACACCCTGGGGCCCGTCTGTGGGAAGCGTCTGTCCCGTTAGCCCAAGCTCCCCGAGGCCGTACCCCGGGACTCGTCTGTGGAAAGCGTCTGTCCTGTTAGCACAAGCTCCCCGAGGCCACACCCCGGGACCCGTCTGTGGGAACCGTCTATCCTGTTGAGGGAATCCTGGCCTCTGGAGCCCTGGTGGAAGAGGGCATGGCACACCACCCCACTAAGCTTGGGACTCCAGATGCTGCCTTTCCCAGCCTCCGTGCAGCCAGGGCACCCTCCCAGAATTGGGGTGGGGTGCAGAGCCTGCAGGCAGGCAGCTGCAGGAACGGTGCATGTGGCAGCATCCAGGGCCAGAATGGTGGTTGCAGCTCTGCCGATGCCCACGGGCCTGCTTCCTGCACAGCCCCGGCTCTGCCCAATGTCTGAGCCGTGTTCACAAACTCTTCCTGTGAGTCAGTTGCTGTGGCTTCCTCATGCTGTCCAGAGGCAACGCCTTCGCATCCCCTTCCACCAGGCCCAGGAGAGACTTGAGAACCCTTACCCAGGCCACACAGAGCACCGGCCACCCTGCTCGCCACTGTCAATGGCCAGCGAAGGTCAGCCCCGTGGCCGCATGTTGTCAGGGCCCAGCCACTGCACGCTGGACATGGCCCCCAGGGCTTTTTCAGTCACAAATGCCTGTGTTCCCATCTGCGCCCGGCCTCTAGAAGGTGTGGCTTCTTCACTTGGTCCTGGAGCAGGGCATCCTGCAGGAGGTGCTGCTGGGTGCACAGGAGCACCAACGTCCCTGTGGGCATGACAGCGGAGCCGGAGGACCACCCCCAGCTGGCGGACGCAGCGCCCTCGTGTGCAGGGAGCAGTCAGGTGTGCTTTGGCGCTGCCTTGTGACTGGGGGCTGTGCTTAGGATATTTCACAGAGATTAATATAAACGGGCACCCAGTAAACACACCCAGTTAGAAAATGTGTTATGGACATGGAACCTCCACGGTAACGGGCAGGCAGGGCACACTCCTTTCTCAGGCTCACCGGTTACACAGAAAACTGGGGAGCAACCCTCACCCCAGCCTGGCCCCGTGCTCCCCACTGGCCTCTGCACGGCCTGCCTGGGAAACACACGCTATGCCAGGAACACAGGACTGACACGGAATGAGGCCAGACACACCAATGCCTGTGCCTCCCAAGACTGACCCCAGAACAGTGGTGTCTACAATGGCAGAAACTAGGGCTGGACCCGCACAGGATGCTCAGACAGACCGCAGGCAGCTCTGCAGCCCGGACACGCCTTTCACGTGTGACTCCACTGCTCAGGGTTCATGGGGCTGTAGACAGGGACTCTCTGTAGCCTGGACACACCTTTCATGTGTGACTCCACTCAGGGCTCACGGGGCTGTGGACAGGGACTCTGCAGCCCGACCACGGGTTCACGGGGCTGTGGACAGGGACTCTCTGCAGCCCGACCACGGGTTCACGGGGCTGTGG